GAATTTCCTTCTCCGTTTCGTACTTTTTTGTTGTAATTTGTAACAAAAAAGTATCTCCTTCCAGTTCTCCAATTTTATCTTACTCCCATAATTGGCGCATGTTGTGGCGAGGCTGCATTGGGAGGAGGGTCGTTGGGGGCTGGTGAGGAGAAGGGGTGGGGGGGGGTAAGGCTTGGAAATTTTGCTGATGTCACCGTCGGGCTCCGAGGTTGACCCTTGGGTATGCTGACGTAGAGGTGCCCCTCCCTCCGCTTAACGCCCCTACCCCCTTCCTCTCCCCCTCAACCTCGACGCAGGGCAGTACGAGACCAGATTGTGTGCGGATGGATAATATTCCTTGCAGGGTTGCTCGTTATATATGTGCGGGTGTGGGGGTGTGACTTTTCGCTTATATGATGAGTGTGTGGGGTTTAGATCATGCGCGTGTTAGATGTAAACCCTCATTTCCTCCATTCAAACGCAAATGTAACACAGGAACGTCATGTTGAACAATTTCTTTAGGAAAAAAGTCAGATATATAGTCTAGCCCCTTTTTCACCATTTTGTTTTGGATTTGGTTCAACTGATCTCCTCTTCCGTGTATTTGCTTTTAAGTTAAGTGCATATCTGTGTATTTGCCGTATATAGCATGCATTATTTAGCATATACGTCATGGGGAAAAGATGATGTATGTAAATAAAATCTTTCGTGGTAAGCTAGTACTTCCATTTACGTGCGGGGGAGATGTGGGGCACGGTTTCCCTAACGGTAGCGAGCATTCGAGGAACAGCTAGCCACGGCGATGCGGAACGAGAAAGTGTTGGTGGGCGTAGGTGTGTGGGCGGACGAGGGCGAGGGCGAGGGCGGGCGTGAGCCGAGGCGAGAGATTGCGGGCCAAGATGAGACGTCGACGGTCATAGCAGTCTGTGACCCCCCCCCCCCCTCTCTCTCTCTCTCTCTCTCTCTCTCTCTCTCTCTCTCTCTCTCTCTCTCTCTCTCTCTCTCTCTCTCTCTCTCTCTCATATATATATATATATATATATATATATATATATATATATATATGAATATATATATATGAATATATATATATATATTATTCTCTCTTATTCTCGCTTTCTTTCTCTTTCTCTCCCTCTGTCTCCCCCGTTCCTCCCTCCCTTTCTTTTTATCTATCTATCCATCTCCCTATATCTCTTCCTCTCCCTCTCCCATCCCTTTCCTTCATAGCCTATACAGCTACAATATTGCTTTTCGCCTTTCCTTGTACGAGTGCCGGGTACTGTGGCCGTCGCCGCCCTCCACACCCCACTTGTGTTCCCGGCGAGGCATTAGTCGTGGTCTGCTTGTGTTGTTCACGTGGAAGTGAATAATGGATAAGATGTGGGAGGGGCGCAGGAAGTGAGGGAGAAAGAGAGGGGAGGGGGAGAAGGAGAGGTGGAGGAGGAGAGACAAAGGAAAATGAAAGAAAAAGGTAGAAGAGAGAAAGGGAAATAAAATGAACTGCGAAGGAAGTTGAAAAAGTAGGGAGAAATGTTGGCGAGAAAATAGGGTGACAAATAGGAGAGGTTTAAGAGAAATAAGGGACAGAGCGAAGGAAATTTAAGGGCGTATGTAATAAGAGAAAAGAAGAGAGGAGAAGGGAGGAAGGGAAAGGGCAGCGAAATTGGGGAAAAGGTTCTTGGGATCTGCTAGTTGGCACGAGAATGGCATGGTCATTGTAACCTGACGAAGGGGTGAGATAAGAGAGAGGAGGGATAAGAAGGGGAAGAGAAAGGAGACAGAGAAAGAGAAATGAGAATTGAGAAAGATGAAGAAGAAAAATAGCGAAAGACGTCCATGCGCGTAGTGTCGCATATGTAGCGCGCGGCACCATGCCGAGAGTGTCATAGCCAAGGCCGCGAGTCTGACACCGGGTAGACGAGGCCCATTCAGCCCCCGGAGTATTATGTGACGCCCTGAACGTTCCCAGGGTGCTCAGCGCACGACGGCTGGTGTGCACTGTCAATGCACAATACAGGCAGTGAACATTGCGCGCGTATTGTGTTGAAGCGCATTGCGAGAGAAGCGGCGCCGTCAAGTAGCAATATACGTGGCCTCCAGATGCAGCTTTACATGACTGTCCGTGACGGTGGAGTAGCGTCGCTTAAGGACACGTCGCAGCTTCAGGGAAGGAAGGGGTGACGTCACTGGAAGGGGGCTGGGGGCTGGGTGGAGTGGAGGGCCTGGAGCTAGATGTCTCAGGGCTGGTTCCGCCACGAGTTACGGCGATGCGTGCGAAAATTTATATCTTCTCCTCACGCTTTTTCTTCCCCCCCCCAGTCTCTCTCTCTCTCTCTCTCTCTCTCTCTCTCTCTCTCTCTCTCTCTCTCTCTCTCTCTCTCTCTCTCTCTCTCTCTCTCTCTCTCTCTCTCCTCTCTCTCTCTCTCTCTCTCTCCCTCTCCCTCTCCCTCTCCTTCTCCTTCTCCCTCCTTCATCCATCCATCCATCATCCATCTCCTCCCCTCTCTCTTTTTCTTCCTTTTTTATTCTTTTTTTTTGGGGGGGTTGCCTCTTGTGGATGTTAACTATCTCCTCAGGGATTTTCTGAAGTAGAGAAACAGGCACACAGACATCCTGAGAGACAGAGAGAAACATTATGGTAGTGAGAGCATCTTAACAGTTGCGCCAACTGTGACTCTCCGTCGAGAATGCACTGACCTTATTTTCTGAAGTACTCCAAATGTCGGAGAGTACATGACGCTAACCACATGGGAGGACAATGCAAGGCACATGGGGAAACAACTTCTTTTAAAATACTCTGACTTCCAAACCGCAGCGGGGGATCACCAAACGCTCGGGCCGAACTCGTTGACGGGTACTCATAACAGACAAGACTAGAGGAGGGTAGTTTATTTTCCTCCTTTCCCCTCTTTCTCCCTTTAACCGGGGCTCCTTTCCCCTCTTTCTTGTGCTCCTATCCCCTCTTCCCTGTGCTCCTTTCCCCTCTTCCCTGGGCTCCTTTGCCTTCTCCCCTCTCTCATTCCACTTTTCTACCCCCCTTTCCTCTCCCTCACCCACCAGCATACCAGCGCAACCTCGTGGTACCCTTTCCCCCCTCCTTGAGGCTCCTCCCCCCCCCTCTTTCCTTCCCCTCCTCCCTCTCTCTCCTTCCCCTCCCCCCCTCTCTCTCCTTCCCCTTCCCTCTCCCTGCCCTCCGACCTTAAGAGTTATTCCCAGCCCAGCTATCTCTCTCTTCGATGTTTGTTTTTATGAACGTGTATTTTATCATTGCCGTCGCTAAAAGGTCAGGTTCCATTGGTCATGGCCAGGCTCTGCTACATGTGCCCTGCGCGCTCTCCTTTTTGACGTTTCGTGCTGCTTTGGTATAGGTTACGCTTGGCTACGAACGACTGCGAACGGCTACGTATCGATGCGAATGGCTACAGACGGCTGCGAACTGCTATGCTCAGCAACGAAACTAGTGTGCCACTTGACGTACCCAGAAGGAGGGCTGTCCACTCCACCAGAGGGTAAACTGTTCGCCTTCGTGTTTATGTGCGCGGTGTCCTCTAGCAGCGGCGGCTCCTCCTCCTCCTTCTTCCTCCCCCGCTCTCCTCCATTCCCATCTCCTCCCTCTGCCATATCCCTCCCCCACCTAACTACCACACCCCGACGCTGTATGTGTGGCTCCTTGCTTCCTTGATAATGAATATCGCTTTCTGTACTTCTTGTGCCCCGGTTTCCCCTCCTCTCCCCACCCCTCCTTCCTCCCTTCCCTCATCTCCACATCATCCTTCCCCCTTTCCCCCCATCTCGCTCCGATGGCGTGTTACTGTGGTCGTCTCGTGGCATTATAACATGGGCCAAACGGCATTATACACACACAGTAGCCTGTGCATGTTTACGCATACTTCGTCACGGTGTCTACGCGCGGGACGCATCACGGCCCCATAGCACAAACCATTCCGCTCTTATACCCAGCTCCCTTCCACCCTACACCGCTCACCCTTTACCTTAAGCCATTTACCCTTTACCCACAGACCCTATGGTTTAATCCTAACAAGAGAGCAAGGGAGAGACCACCGAATAGCGATACGAATAGCTATATGATGTTTAAGAAGATATAATCATGTATCCAAGAGCTAGCTATATGATGTGCAGTCATATTACTCGTATGTCCAAAATTTGTAATGTAGGCCTAATGTAATATGACGTAATATTACGGCTTTACTGCTTGATGGCGCTTTTTCAAATAACCCGGGGGGTGACTAAGGGACTGAGCTAAAAAAGAGGATGTGAGTCTAAGAATCCCGAGAAGAGATGGAGTGGTATGTCTTATAACGAATAATTATCTCTTCGTCGACTTCACCTGTGGTAGAAAAAGACATCGAGTTAACAAAGTCTCTTGGCGGTCTCATTTCTATTTTTATTATTCTTTTCCCGGAAAATTGTCGGCATCGGGTGCACAGCGGCGAAACCTTTGAGGGGAAAGGGAGAAGAAGGGAGGAAGAGAGAAAATATGGAGAAAAGTAACAAGAGTAAAGGGAAGAAAGGAAAGAAAAAATTAAGAAAAAAAGAAAAAGAAAAAAATAAACATTTTTAAGAACAGGAGAATGAGAAAAGCAGAAGTAGCGCGGGTGTTGGAAAAGAAAAAGAGGACAAAGAAGCGAAAGAAGGAAGAGAAGAGGAGGAAGGAAAGGTGAGGGAGGCTAGCCTGGGTCGGAAGAGGTAACGTGGAGGATATGGGTGTAATTTTATTTTTGAGCCCTGAGTTAGCCAGCCATGTCGAGGGGGGAGGGGGGGAGGGGGAGCGGGTAGGCGAATGAGGAAGGGTAGTGCTCGCTCGTTCGCTCCTTCCTCCCTTTCCCTTTCTTTCCTTCCGGTTGTGTGTTAATCTTTTCCCAATTTTATCGTGGCTGCTCCTCTGCCTTGGCTTTCTTGCCATAATCAATTTCTTTCGTTTTTCCCTCTCCCTGATTTTATAGCTTCCAACTTTTTCTTCTCTTTATCTCTAATGCAGTGGAAGTTGCATTTTTCTATCTTTATATTTCTCTTGTCTGGCCGCTCTTCACCTTATTTGACCTTAATTTCCTTCTTTCGAGCCCCCATCCTCCTCCACTTCTCTACACGTGTCTCCTCCTCTCCTCTTCTCCTCTGTCTTCATCCCTCTCTCTCTTTCCCTCTCTCCTTCTCTCTCTCTTTCCCTCTCTCCTTCTCTCTCTCCTTCTCTCTCTCCTTCTCTCTCTCCTTCTCTCTCTCTCTCTCTCTCTCTCTCTCTCTCTCTCTCTCTCTCTCTCTCTCTCTCTCTCTCTCTCTCTCTCTCTCTCTCTCCCCCTCCCTCTCTCTCTCTCTCCCCCCCCCTCCCTCTCTCCCCCCTCCCTCTCTCTCCCCCCTCCCTTCCTCCCTTCCTCCCTTCCTCCCTCCCTTCCTCTCTTCCTCCCTCCCTTCCTCTCTCCCTTCCTCCCTCCCTTCCTCTCTCTCTCCCTCCCTTCCTCTCTCTCTCCCTCCCTTCCTCTCTGCCT